AACCGCGTCAGCCGCGTTATCGTTACGTAAAAAAAAAGTCAACGGTAGCAAGAATCAAACAGCATTACGATAATACATACAAACAAGCGCATTTGGCGATCGCATATTCTCTCAGCTCGCTCACAAGGTTCCCTGAATGAACCACGCGCATTTTGAAAAATCGTTATTTCAAGAGGATTGTTTGTTTGACAAAATGTTTTTTTTTTAATGGACTTACATAACACACCAACATATGAATATAGCAAACATTCATTGCGCCCAAATGATGAACGAAAGCGTGCTGTTGACCACGAAAATGATGTTTGCATTCTTCAATCATTGTTCAACTTGGTCATGTGACTCTGGTGGGAAAAATCGATCAAATCTAACTTGTGGCGTTACAACAATTATGGGTGTGTGCGTGCACCTATCTATTTACTGGATGCACAGTTGGGCGGCGAGCAAACACACTCAGATTATATTTGATATTTCCGTTTCTTGCATGAATGCCGTTCGTCTACTTATGAAAATTAAGTTAAATCGAATGATGAGAACTTATCATTCACATTAGAAGCGCTACCTATCTTCTTTACACAACATTAGTGTACGGAAGCACTTTAACATGCATCCACCTATTATTACCTTCCATTGACGGAAGAAGTCGGTCTGAAAAAAACAATGCGTGCACCCATTGAAATCAAGTTCTAATTCTTGAATTACAAGTGATAAAAAAAAACTGTATGTTGGCGTCCGTAAGAATTACAGTTCGTTCTCCAAGGTATCTTAACATGTGGTACAGGAAATCTTTCGTAAAAACATCTTGTCCGGTAGTACACAGCAATTTAATATACTTTTACGCCTGCGTGCTTGCGTGCGTGCGTGCGTAGGGTACGAGAGATCGTACAACTATAGAAATATCAGTGTGATTGATGTGATAATGTCCCTTCCATCAGGTACACTCAAATGAACGACCGGACGATGGAGAAAGTTTGGCATTTCGCCACGTGACTGAATCATTGGAAAAAAATCCATTCGTATGGTGGCCCACCAAACGTTTTATTTCCCTTTTTTATCCAAACCACTTTCAAATAATCATTTAACCATTTATACACTCTTTCTCCTCACCCAGTTTGCACACTTCAATCGCTTATCAACCTAACCCAAATGTGGAAATAGATTATGCTACAAAGATGGAAAAAAACAATGATTTTCAACAATCATTATTTGAAAAAGCGTAGTTATTATATGCAGTCAATTTCTGTTAGTGTTCGTTGCTGCGCTCGTATCTTTGGCATCATCATGATATGAGACATCATTTTTTTGCCTATGGTTTTCTTGTTTTGGCAATGCATATACATAATCAACTCAACTCCGATGTGTCATAACATTTTGACAGCGTATGGACATAAAAGATTAATTATTGAGATTCTCAATCATTATGCATCAAATTATTGTAGATGAATGATTTGTATGTAGGCGCTTTATCGAATTTCGGACAAACCGGAGAATCCAGAGAATGCGTATTTCATTATTTTGAAGTTGTGAATGGGCATTCGGGCATGTCATACATCTTTGTGAACCAGGGATGGATAAGACGAACATGCATTCTGGAATTTCGTGAGAAAAAAAAGCGAATTCACAGGTATCGGAAGCAATACAGGCTATCACCAAAATGTCCATACGTTTCAGTATTCACTGTCGCATGTTCACCCACTAATTTATTTTAGGTTCATTCATCATTGCTCCCAGGCGGAGGTAACGTCAATCGGTTACATGCTACCTGCATTGAGACGGTCGGACGTATACCGTATACTTGTGCGTTTTTCATCAATAGAGCATATTTATGTAATTAGGCAAAATTCTAAACCGTAGCATTTGACAAAAACATCGATCAATCATTTCAAGGACAAATCGTTGTTCGATGGTAGACGGCATCACATGAAACACGCAACCATTTAGGAAGGAATGATGAATGTGTACACACCGAATACGCGATCACTACACATTATTGTGCGTACATACAGACTACCATTTTCATCTAATTCTAAATACGAATACGGTTAATGTTCAGCGCGAGGCGTGTGAAGCGTAAAATAGAGCGTAAAGATTTATTGTCAGTATTGGTGCACGAAGGGCACAACAGAAAGGGGTTGGAAAGGGTATTGTTGCGCAGGTGTTGAAAACTATTGATGCCGTGTAAATTTTCATTTCACGCAACTTTATGTCAATTTATGCATCATGCTTGGTTGATGCAAGAACCACAATTACTATGCCTGAACGCAGGTACGGGCAGACTCACCCTCCGCATGACACCTCGTCATGCCCGGCATGCGCGAGTGTAAAATTTCCGATGTGAGCGCGTATGTGAATGTGAACACGCGTTATCGACTGTGCGCGCTCAATGACTATGCGTATACTTGCCAGAAAGAGAAAAATGACATGATAAGGGAATCTGATATGGTGATCTACTTTTATCTTTTCCGGTTGAATTCGAGTAATCTCGCCTCGTCAAGGGGATCCAAGGATCACGGAATATATGGTAACCTGCGTTCCGGTCACCCGTCTGAGCTGATGGATTCAAATATCCGGGTAAGACCATCATCATTGACATATCTAATATAAGATAATCGTCAGGGGCCAATTAGGGGATCTAGGGACGAGCTTTAGGCCCAAACACGTCGTCACATTTCAAGTACCAGCTTTACCGAGGTTTTTTTGCATTTATTTTCGCATAATGGACTTTCGAGGCCTCAGCTGACTGTGTAACGCTCCTGCATGTGCGTGCACCATGACCACATTGTGAGAAGAAGCTTCCGCGCTGACTTGCATACAATGACAGGGTAGAATAATAATGAGAGGTTTTAATAATGACACCATTCTTACATCAAAAATTTCGAGGGTTTTCGAGGAAGGGTGAATTTTTTTTTTCGTGAATTAAGGTTGACGGCAGTTTTGACAAGTTTTTTTTTGTTTGTTAAATCATCACGTGCCAGGGAACGTAAATCCTTTGTGATTCGCGGAAAACTGACAACCATTCAAAAAATTATTAATTACCTGCGAATCTCGCAAAAATTAAATGATAATAGGGGGCACTGATGGCGAAAGAAAATGTTGGTTCAGGCAAGGAATTTCGTTGGGATACGTGCGCACATCATTGATTATCATGTGAGACATTCCTTTATCAATCTTTGCCCCCTCCCCAGAGTACTTCACCCTTATTTCATGTAAACATTGCAATCACGCTACAGATCCTTTCTTTGATTCCGTAAATGCCAAATTCGTTGTTAATTCCTAAAATTACAATAACTGCCAAATATTTCCATTTGAAGATTTAAAGAGATGCCGATCGCCACACATAAGAATTGCACAACCCTTTTTCTATCCAGTGTCACGATGAAAATCTACCCCGGTGTACCACGAAAAGGATACAATATTTCGGGTTTATGCAAGAGGTGTGCTACCAATGTAATAATAATACTTTATAGCTATATTGTTTTCTACTTTTAATTATTTTGATTTTTTCGATGTTCTTCTTTACAAGGTAGAAGAGAAATCAAATGCAACAATTATTCTTAGCATTGGATCCGAGTTACTTTGACACAATCAATAATTTTGATTGGTTGATATTTTCTAGTGCTGCTTTGTTCGATGTAATGATATCTCATTTTTCAGTTCAACCAGAGGCATTGAAGACCGAATTCTATCCGGTCAATGTTTAGTTTATTGTGCTTATTAAATCTTTGAGTATTCAAAATCAGAAATAAGATTATAAACAATTTACAATTACAATTACCAAGTATACAGAGATCACTTCTCTCACTATTACAGTTCTACAAGGAAGAAAAAAAAAAAACAATATACACAAGTATAATATAATACTAATATTTAAAGCATGTATGTTCACGTGAATACGAACGGTGATGGTTGATTATTAGGGTGTTGTGTTTAGAGAAAAAAAAGTCCTTTTTTACAGTTGAAAAAATAAAAAAAAAGAAGAGGTTCCAAAGTTCGTCCACAATAGTAATGATAATTATAACATCGTTGATGACGGAAAACAGAGAAGGGAATGAATGAATGATGTGAAAAAGAAAAAATCAATGAATAACAATGTTCCTTAGTCTGAAAGAATATTCTGTTGGACTTTCATATTCATTTGTTATTTTTGAAGCACCCCTCGCATACCCTCGACCATACACCGCCCCAATCTTCGGTGCCATCAGGAAACAATAACATTGAATAATCGCTGTGCGCGCTACAAAATATATTTCCGCACCTATTGTTGGAAATGGAAGAAGTTGGATACCGTCGTTACAAAACTTTGTTCGAATGTATCAATACCAGTGTTAAAAAGTAAAGTGAGATTCTCACCTTCGACAGTGATGCCTTCGGCGCCACAGATTGAATTGAATGTTACATGACTCGTGCTGACAACTTGACACATCGTCATCTTCGACCCATCGTTTTGCCAGACCTAATCCGTAAATTTTGTGAGCAAATGTGAACGCAACAAACAAAGTACAAACAAATGGAAAACATGATAACTTACTGAATCGAGTTTGGTGTTGTATCCTCACTTCATCAGTAAGTAATGTAGCCGGATTCGTGACTGGCTTTGGACGGCTCTGTGAACCAAGAGGAAATCAGTCAATTGTATGTGTATTAAAGAAAAAGAAAAAAAAAATTTTTTTTCTTTTATCAATTAAGACTTACATGAGGAGGTGACAGACAATATAAAGGCGTCAAATCTGAGGAAGGTTGATTGCTCAAAAGAGACTCCTTTGAAGGAGCCGGTGATGCAGGACGAACTTGTTCTCGTTCGGCGACAACCGATGCAACTGAAATCGAACTTATGCTTGGTCGATGACCATGCCTACTTGGTGTCATCCTACCGCTTACGTTCGGTGATTGTGGTTGCAGTTGTTTCTTCGAGTGTGAGAGTTCGCTATTGCTGTTTTGGTGGCGAAGCGACTTCATTGAACTTA